TCCCAACACCCCCCTAAGCCCCATATTCGCACAAACCAAACATCATTCGAACCTATCTCCAATAGTGGCTCTAGTTGTTCCACCTTATTGTCAATTCCAATAAGTCCTTCAATATAAGGTGGCAGTCTAGGATGTAATTTGGTCCACAGCTCTTCAACCATTGTGTCAACAAGTTCTGCTTCAAACCTACAAGTTACAACAACATATGAATGGCCATGTGAAATATGACTTTTGATTTATTATTTAATTATGTAATATTTGTTACTCCAATGTCTGTAATTGTTAATGGTATTTTCCTTTTGGATTATCAACACATTGCAAAAATTTCACTATTGGCAACAGCCCAAACATGTAGTTCTTGTTCCTTTTTTTTTTTTAACAAGCGCTTTAATTTAATTGTGATGTTAAAGCTTTTCAGTTCAAGGATAAAAAATTTTGGATATGAAAAAAAATAAAAATTAACACAATACAAATTTAAAATTTAAAACTTTTAACTTCAAATACAAAAAAAATAATTACAAAATTTATTGGAATAAATGATGGCATAACTAAAAAATGACCAGGTACTATAAAGTTGATTCCACAATACTCAAATATAAGTAATAGTGTCAATGTCAAATAAGTGTAATAAAAAAATTTTACAATTCTTTTTTCTATATATTTGTGGCCTTCGTCTATAAGATTTTATCCAATAAACTCAAAGGGGGCTCATCTAAATTCAATTTTATCTCTCAGTTCTTTATACATTCTGCCAATTGTATTTGTGCCATCTACTTTAGGATGAAACAATTTTGTGAATAATGATGAAAATCTTTCAAGTGTTTTTGGGACAATAAAGACCTGGCAGGTAAGTTTTAGGAAGAGGCATAATAAAACAGCATATACTGATCATAATCATATAACTGAGAAATTATAGTCAGAGGACAGCAATTTTGGATCTCAATAATAACACCAACTTTAATTCGAAATTCATTGATTAAAAGATAAAGGATACTTGCTAGATTACAACATCACGTACCTTGAATCATATGCAATGAACTGCATCAATGAATCATCTAATTTGACTTCATCTTCCGAGCATAAAGATGAGGTCTGACATTCTTTTATTATAGCTTGGGAGGTTTCGCTCTGTAACAAACTGGTTTGCCCGTGTTCTTCAGCTTCAGAGCTAACTGTGTTTCCCTTAGAAACATGAAGCTTATAATAAGTATATCTTGCAAAAGTCATCAGATAACAATTATTCATTCTCAAAAGAGATTTAATATTCTGGTTTATTATTAATCTATGTCTCCACTGCTGCACCTTGAAAAGTGATAACAATGCCAGTACAAAAGATCATGAAATAGATCGCCAAAAATAAATACCAAGAAAGAGACTTTAGAGAAAAAGCAGCTTACTCCATGCGTGAGTAGTTCTAAATCCCCTTTGCAAATGAAGCGCCATCCACACTTGTTGACTCTAAATCAACCAATCTTGATGGAAGCTGCTCCCAATCAGTACAAAATTTCAGGCGAATCTGTTTGTAATTCCTTGATAGTTCATCTCTGTTTTCCTCTTTAATTTTCCAAAATACCATCCAGAGATGGCAAGATTTTATTTCTTTCTCATGTTCACATGTTCTTCTTGGGAGGGATGCATACTTACGATCGCAGGCTTTAAAATCAAACCCCCAGCGGAAGATGATTTTGATTCTCAAATCATGATGGCATTTCACTCCCGGAATAGTCACTGAAAAAGTTGTAATTCTCCTTAATCCTTCAGCATGTTGGCCATCCTAAAACCAATAAATTTATCATGTCACAAATTGTCTAAAATTAAAAAGATATGTATGGATTTGTGCATGGAAAACATAAAGACAAATATGTACATAACTGTTCAATTGAATCAAAGAGATGCAATATTTTTTTGTCTGACAAAGTTCTCAATGAATCACATTCTCCTGCATCCATTAGATTCAAACATGGCGAAGGCTTTGGTAAAAACTGAAGCTTTGGGCAGGAATTCAGATAAAGAGACTGTAGATTCAAAAGATTAGAAACGCAACCATCAGGTAGATTCACCAATTCGTCTCCACTCAAATCTAGTTTCTGCAATGATGATAAGCCACTAAGGCCATTGGGAATGATTCCATCAAAAATATTGCAGGAGCTCAAATCTAATTTTGTCAGTGATTCAATATTGAAGATAGAAGCGGGCAGTGTTAAGCCTTTAGGAAATGAATGCCTCAGCATTTGATTTCAAAGAAGAGACCACACACTTGAATTGGAAGTTGGCTTTTTGCATCCATGAAGTTGCCAATGCCTTTAATTTCTTGTCCTTTAATTTTTTTTGCATCCATGAAGTTGCCAGCGCCTTTAATTTTTTTTAATTTAAATTTTTTTTTTTGAAATATATCTTTCCATGACGTTTAATTGTCTCCACGACACAATGCTAAGCACAAGAAAAGGACTCATCCCCTAACTAATACATACTAAACAAAAGTATTAAGTTGGCAAATTAATTTTCTTTTTAGTAATAGGATAAAGTAATTAAATTGAACTATATAAAAATCAGTAAAAATTAGCAATTATTTTCGTTTTTGCGCAAATCAAAGAACACGAATTTGCATTTCATGCATCTTTCATATTTGGATGTTACAACTTGTTGAGATCATTCTAAATTCATTCATATTGCATATGCACCATGGGTAGTTATTTATTATTGACAGAAACAAAATTATATTTACAATACACTGATGGTACTTTGTTATCATGGTTTAGGGTGATGAGTCTATGGGCTTTTTTTGCCTGCGTGGGGCTGTACGAATATACTCATCTCTTGTCAAGTTAAATTATATGCAATGGACGATTTTATTATTGCATTCTATTCTTAATATAAGGTTTAGTTTGTAGTTCCATTTAAATAACAAACTAAATTTTATTTTAAAAATTGAAAGTAGCTTTTTTCCCCCCATACATCAATTCAAGCCCACTCATACTTAACGTTTCAACAGGTATTTTTATGTTCAATCCTTGAAACCTTTTTTCCTGGTTGGGAAGGTTTAAACTGAGGAGCATAAAACAATTCTCCATGAACCTGAAATTTGCAGCAACATTTCTTATTACTCTATTTGAGAAAATTAACTGTATGTCTTTATAGTTTTACTTTAGTTTTAATCAGGTGCGTGCAGCTTTTCTCAATCATTGACGTTAGTCTTCAGCTCATAATGTATTATTTTGATTGATATGGATGCTAAGTCACATGTAAGTTATTGCAAAATACAAAATAAAAATTTTAAATAAAATGACAGAATGCAATTTATTTTCTATCAACATAATAAAAAATTATTATGCTCATAGTTGTCTCCTTGAACCTATAAACAATCTACTGTCTAGTTTATTTTAATTTAAATTTATTTAGATCTACGTGAAAAAATTAGTCCATGTATGATATGATTTAATTAGGCCAACAACATTGTCATTAGCTACTAACAATGTTTCCTTTACAGCTTAACAAATTATTAATATAATGACCAATACCTATAATTGAATAAATTGTACCAATAGAAAAAAATAATTACGACCCCATTAAAAATGATATAAAACTACAAAGATCTATGAATTAATTTTTTAAATTTATATTAATTATATGAAAGCAATAATGCAAATGAAAATTGAAAATGGAGCATTTTCTTACATTTTTTCTGAATTTTATATGCTGCTGATTTTTTTTAAAAAAAAGATCAAACGTATTTTTTTTCTTTTATTCTTCACCCAATGGAAAGAGTATGCATCTGACATATCCATAGTCCATAGACACTCAACCTCATGCTTGAATAAAATTTAAAGAGGTGAGCCAAACGGCAAAGATGAAGCATATCTAGTTATTATTTGTATAAAATGAATATGGAATTTATATGCTTTACTTGTTTAAAAAAATAATATGGCCTTCTTCATTAGATTTAAATATCACCATTTTATGGATGTGGATATATATTATAGAATGTTGATCGATATCTTTTTTAAAAAATATATTAATAATTTAATTATAATAGATGTGAATGTGATTAATAAGTCTAAGCATTAAACCATAAATAGGAAACTTGACTCGTTCACCACCCCATCGAATCTTCATAACATTATTGCTCATAATTATGCACGTATACTTAGATTTCTCGTTTAATTATGACAACTTGAAGTTAATTTAAAATTCGGATTCTGTTAGATGAGCTTATACATATATCTCATGTTGTGTCAAAAGACTAAGGGATGTTTAGTTAAACTTTAAAAAAAAAAAAACATGTTTAAAAAATATTTTCACACAAATCGAGACAAAACTCTTATAATATACTTATTTTATAGAATGTAAAATTACTTTTAAAAATATAGTTTGATTTCCACCAAAACACCCCATAAATTATATATCGAGTACCCGTTTCCTGAAGGCCAAGCTTTTTAAAGTGCTTCTAATTAATGGCCAGAGATTAACAACGCCAACGAGGGGCTACCTCTTGCAATTACTGTCGTGAATATTGTGATATTGCGAGCGGGTGTGTCCCAATAATAATAATAATAATAATAAAGAGAGAAGACAAGTCAAACATTGTCCAGAATAGTAAAGATCTTAAAACAGTTCCTCAAGCTAACATACTTGAGATTCTCATATAGTCATATTCAACAGCACCATCATTAAGCGTTTTAGGCATGGTGATTGCTCCACCAAGAAAATAAGGATTATATAATGTTATCCCTCTCGAATAAGTTAAAAGGATGCACTTCTGTCCCAGGAAATTAAAATATAAACCCATATTGAGGCCTATATAGTTTCAAACTTGCTAACTACCATTAATAGTAAGGGAGGAGTGAAAAAATCGTACTCACGAAGCATGATCATGTGAACTAAGGATGCATGGGATAGCTTGGACTATCCAGCCTCATCAGCTGAAGCTGTTGTAGCAAAACTCCAAAACCCAAGGACCCGCTACCAGTAGAGGGCCAGCATCATCTTTTTTTTTTTTTTTGTGGTGATGGATGATGAAAACTTGAAAAGGAAGAGGACTGCACGAAGTATAAGCCAACCATGAGCAAATGGCACGGTAGATCTTGTTTCGTTGGAAGATCAATATTTGAAAGCTCATCAAAAGGCCCCCTGAAATCTTCCCACTATACCGGTCTGCATGAGCGTGTAAAACACACTGACTGCATGCATTTATTGAGAGATAACTGGAGTAAAGCTCTCAGCCTTATCAACAGGGAAGAAATAGCAACTGGAACATGGACAGGTATATCTTGGATGTCCTAAACCCCCTCCTTTCCATTTAAATAATTAGAAGATGAAGCAGAAATAAAGAACTGAATCTAGTGAGTTAACATTGCAAGGTGTTTAATAGTGAGTCAGCTACTCTGTAAATTCCAGAGAGTCTCAAAAGCATTATGTACAATCACAATAAACTTGGGAAAACAAAACCCTTTCTAGCATTCCAATTCTCTTGGCTTTGCCAGTATGTTATTATCTACTCCATGCTACTGCAAGCTGCTCATAATGCCAGTGATATGGACTTCCTTGTTCATATGCATACTGTTGCAATTGCTGCCATTAAATCTGCACATATACTTCAGCTTTGCTTTAGTTATCGAAGATGGGAGTGTGTTGAAATTTGATGATTTTTTGATCAAGACAGGGTAAATTAATTAATGTGAGGGATCGTAGATGTTTGGAATTCTTTGAAGTGCAGAATAGTTTTGTGTTGGAGCAGAAATAGTCAGATTGTTATTTTCCCATTTTTAATTGCTTCTGCGGCTGAATTAAATGCCATTATAGCTGATGCAGTGATGGGTGGGTATAAGACAATTGATGATGAGTTGATATGGCCAGGGAAAATTTTTCCAAATATTATTATCACTACAAAAAAACATGGTTTTAGCGACGAAATTTTGAATTTAGCGACGGAATTAGCGACGGAACGGATTAGCGATGGAATTTATTCCGTCGCTAATCCCTCTGAGCGACGGAATTTTTCCGTCGCTAATCCGTCGCTAACTCAATTTTTTAAAAAATAAAATAAAATGCCACGTGGCATCTCTACCAATTGCCACGTCATCACGAAGACCACCTCCATGTGTCGCTGCCACCTCACATCTATCGCCACGTGTGCGCCACGTGTCACACCTCTGCATGCCATGTGTGCCTGCCACCTCACCTCTGCCTGCCGCGTGTGCGCCACGTGTCACCACCACATAATTTCCTTCTCAAAGTGACTTCTCCATGACTTGAACCCAGGATCTCCTTCGTGCGCACGTGCAGCTTTACCAGTTGAGCTGCAATGAATCTGTTGACTTATTATGTAAAATTAAATATATATTATATTATTTTACACAAACAATTATATATACATATATATTATTAAAAACTAAAAATATACTATATGATAATTTTAATCATAACTATTTTAATGAAAAAAATAATTTTTAAATATTTGTTTTACTATTTTTATAATGTTTTATTTTTAAAAAAATCTTTTTAATATAATTTTAATTTCTAACGACACTAATTTTGAATTTTACATCATAAATAATTTTTCATAAATATCTTTTAAATTTATTTTTTAATTAACATTGATAAGATATACAATTTAATTATATATATATATTATATTACATTATATTATATATGTATATGTAGTTTATATATTTGAAGAAAATCATTTACAATTAGTCAAAAAATCTTGTTATTTAAAAAATTCAAAAAATAACTACTATAATAAAATCTAATAAATTATTTTATATAAAAAATTAAATGATTTAAATAGATTATGATAAACAGTATTTTCCTACTTGTATATATATCCTATATAATTTATTTTCTTAAAATTTGCGACGGAAACAAATTCCATCACTAATTTCTGACGGAATTGCCGTCGCTAATTTTTTTGACAAATTAGCGACGGAATTGTCCGACAGAAAAAGATTCTGTCGCTAATTCCGTCGCTAAATACGGATTAGTGACGGAATTTAGCGACGGAATGAAATTCCGTCGCTAATCCGTGAAAAAAATTAGCGACGGAATTTCCGTCGCAAATTCCATCGCTAATTTGCTGTTTTTTTTGTAGTGTATTGAGGGTTCTGCTACCTTCCTTTTTTGGAGAGCTTCGAGATATAGGAGGATTATATACAAGCTGCAACAGTGCAACTGAAGGATTCACTGACATGTTCACATCAGCCTTTCGTGACTCTATAGAGCATTTAACGCTGCTGGTATTCAAAGTAAGTATACTCATGAAGCCAAACTGTATAGAGCTTTATGTTCATATCAACCTCTGTTCTAATACCATAAATGCATCACCTAACATTCTATATACTAATATGGTCATTTTAATGCCTGTCAATAACTAACTCTGGGTTTCTAACCTAAAAATAATGGGGTAAATGCTTAATTAGCATCGTCAAATTCAAAAGACCATACAAGTATATGCGTATGGTATAATACCCGCAAATCACTTTCCAATCCTTCCTCATTTCTTTAATCTATAACCCTAAAAATATCAAATTAACTTCAATAGAAATGCCTAACTATCATTTTAAAACTTCATAGTTGAATCTCAAAATTCTTCTAAATCTGGAATTATTTTTCCAGCTTATCATTAACACTTGCACCATTCATATTAATTTAAATTTTCCTTCCTATAAGCTCTAAAGTGACTTAGGGTGTTTAACCTAGAATTTCCAGATTCCATTTCTACTCTGAAACTAGTCTGGCAACTTAGAGCACCAAAGAACATTCCTTATCTTAGCTTTGTTCAACTAAATGGGTCCTACCGATAGGCGATAGCACTCATCTCCACTTAAGTCATACCATTTCATTGTACAAAGACACTCCATCCCTTCAAAAGAAATTTCCATTACAACATTTGAATGAGTCAATGTCAATAAAACATCGAGAGCTCACGGTTTCCCTATCATTTTTTTTTTCTTAAGCTTTTCTCTCTTCCAGATTCGAAAATTATTATATACCCATATCAAACCGAACAACTAACACTTATCATATGTTTATATCACATCTCCTCCTAACTCCAAAGAACTCTACAGTATAATCAAAACAAAAAAGAGCAACAGATTTGACAGCATCACAAAACAGTCCCAACATCTCATGCATAAACATTTTTCACTTCTTTAGATCTTAGAAAACCTGGGCTACAAAAATTGAACACCAAACCCTCTCTTCGACCAACACAAGCAAAGCAACAAACACACATGCATGAGCAGAAATCACAGCCACACACTCCGTTCTAACCTTTAAACACGGTTTGCATAACTTGGCCATCGAGCTCTACACTTTCTCCCTCTAAAACAAGATTTTATTATCTTCATCATTTTGCAAAACGTGCCCCATCAGAGGAGAATAAAGATAAGAGAATATTCAGGAGGCATACCTTTCTTGGATTTCACCTTTTCATGCAAAGATTCTCTCCTCCGATCACTTCTTCCTTCTCGGTCTCTCTCTGGTTTCACTTCGAGCAGCAGGGGAAATGAAAAAGGAAAGAAGCATTCTGAATGTTATTCTGTGGGGGTTTCTAATCCCATCCTTCACTCAGGTTTCCTGAAGTTAAGGAATACATCCAGAAATTAATTCAGGATATTTTGTATGGATTTATATTATTCATTAGTTTTTTTAACCAGAAAGTAATTTGTCTAAAAATTTTGAGTTAAAAATCAACTCCTAATTATTTTTTTAAAAAATAACTTTTAATTTCATAAATTAATCCTAAACTCATTTTAAAAATTTTAACCTCAAGTAGCTTCTTTAACTCATAGAATAATTATTCTAGAATTTTCAACTCATTTTTCTTTGAATTTTCTAGAAAAATGAGTCATTTTTTGTTCTGAAAAATAAATTTAAAATTTTTTGAGTCATTTTTTGAAAATAGAATTTTTCATAAAATTTGTAAGTCCTGAAAATTTATATTCCACAATTCCTCCCATTTTTATTTAGGCTCCAAATAATTTTAAGAAATTTTTTTTCTATCCTTCCTAAATCAAAACATTCAGGTTTACACATATGGGATGATTTTCTCACTTTCCCGTCTAAACACCACCATCAAGAAATTTGGGTGTTTAGATTGAATCAAAACCATGGTTTTAAAAGTGTTTTTACAGAATACGAAATAAATATGTAAAGGAATTTATCTTGATTTGTGAAAAGTGCTTCTAATGGTGTCCAAATACCCCCACGACTCCTTCCAATTAATTATATTATACTATCTTTATTTTTTTTAATATAAACATTAGATAATTAATTTATAAATATTAAGAAAATTAGTTAAGTTAGTTATTTATAATAAATTGATATTGTTTTTTTTAAATATCCTTATTAATTATGTGAATTTGGATTATCTATTGATAAAAATTTCTTGACAGCATATGTAATCCATACGAATTACTTGAGGAGAAAATAAATAAATATTAGATATAAGGTAGATTAGGTTATTATATTTAAGACTAAATCAACCCTTCAACTAACGCTTATATTGTAACCAAAAAAAAAAAAAAAACTAACGGACCGAATGGAGCATGAAACGGAAGCAAATACATAAGGCTGTTGTTGACCAAAGACTTGGAAAAAGGAATGGAAAATTGATGAAATATTACTTCCACTGACAACTTATTTATTTCAAGCTTGGAAGTATTGTTTCCATGCTCCTTCCCGCATGACTGCGATTTGTATCACCAGAGTCAAGTCAATATAATCTAAGACTCCGAGTCTTTCCTGAATATGCTACAATTTTTAATTTTGTTCTCATCTAATGACTTTTCTTTTCTGAACAGTAACTAATATTTATCCAACTGGCAACTATTGTCTATATTACTAATTTATTTTTTAAAAATAAAATTGATCCACAAAAATTAGCTTGTGAATTTTAGAAATTTAAATTATTCAATTTCTTTTATAAAAATGATCAAAGTCTTTTGAAAAAAGACTGGCTGAACTTATTAAGCAAATGTTGGACCTGAGAGAACAGAGGAGATGTTGAGTGTGGTAATGGAAGGAGCTGTAATCTGAGCAATTTGAAAAAGATGAAGGAGTTGGAGGTGAAGATAAAAGGACGAGGCTGAGTAACTGTGGATTATGAGAAATAACGAGACCATTGTAAGGACAAGAAATTGCCACGCGGAGGTAGAATGCATTTTCAAATTCATGCTTCAGTCAACAGAGAATTTTAGAAAGTAATTTTATTTCCAAATCCAATTCTACTGTTTGGATGAGTAAAAAATATTATAATAATTATGAATATATATTATAGCATATTCCTTTTTTCTTATAATTTAGAATATACATAATCCTGTATTCATCTAAACACAAAAGAAAGCACTATATTTTACGGTTTACAATATGAATTGCATCAGCATGTATATGCATATAACTAGTACAAAATAAATGAAATTGCATTTCGATATATCTCGAAATCCAATCTCATCCCCAACGCATAAGCCACATAAGCTTAAAAAAAATGCTAAGCTAGTAAAATGATTATTGTACCAAAACCTTGCAAAGGTAACAAATTAAGTGAAATATCTTGTAATCTGGGTTGACATAAGCTTTGTGAATAAGGGAGTAGGAAGAGTCTTAAATGACTCATACTCTCTTTGGTTTCCAGTAACTATTATATAAATTTGCACCAAATCAGTGTCTGCTAAGTCTGGAACTTGAGAAGGTTCTTCCTCAACACTAGCAGTGCATGATTTCTCTCCCTGGAACGATTCTGCTTTCGAGTAGGAACTTGTGCGCCATCAATTGAACAACCAGTTGAGATTGTTGATTCCTGTTACCAAACGAGCTTGAACAATCATAACACGCGCCTTTTCTTCTGTCATGAACTACTACCATTAATCACCTAATTTCTCTTCCTCTTCCAAGCATAATGATGATGACAGTTCTGAAATTTAGGAAGTAATTCATAAAAAAATATTATTTTTTAAAAAAAAACATGGTTCATCTTTTAAAGTAAAGACTGCAAAAGCTAGTTTATTTGACCCAATTGAAAAAAAAGTTGATATTTTCCCCCATAGACTTGAAAACTGACTTCCCTATTAAAGCTATACGATTATTTTTAAGTAACTTTTATTTTTTAACAATTTAATGTGTAATTCTTTTTAGTTACTTCTATATAAAAAAGAATATTTGAATATTTATACGCAGTGATTTGCGATCCAATATTATGTCATTAACAAGTCATACTGTGGGGATTATCGAATAAACTCGATTAACTGTGCACTACAATGATGCTGACCTAGATCGATCTCTTTTGAGGAGTCCATTACTAAATTTCTGACTAATTAAGTATTAATGGTTTCCCAATTTTACGAATTAAATGGATTACGGAATGAGTGATAGGAGACTTCTTTGATGATCGACTTAACTAACTTCTCTAGTTCCCCTTTCAATTACCTAACTAAGCAATATCACTCGCGAAGACACTTATCCCTAGCCAATACCAAGAACCCCCTAAATTCACGTGGACACCTATGTTCCTTTAGTTTATTATAGATGTTGCTTAGCTGATATTAGACTCCCAGCCAATGCTAGGAGGATCTCTCCACTCTTAATCAAACCTGGACAGCTGGCCATTTAATCAAGAGCTTGAGAACATGGAGAGTCAATCAAAATAGAAAAGAAAATGCTACAAATCAATCAACAATCCACAGAATACAACATCTAATATAAGTATCAATCTTCAGACTACACATACCGACGATAATCCTGAACCAAATGCACCAATTACAATCCATAGAGACCTAGAGACTATAATCAATAAATATACAGATTGGAAACGGAAACTGGATAGGAGGATATCTGTCCATTATTAATCAAACCTAGACACCTGGCCATTTAATCAAGAGCTTGAGGAACTCAGATTGGCTCCTCCATCATCAAGGAACGGAAGGCCTAACTGCTCATGGACGGACACACATGTCACCGAGGTTCACAGGACTCTCGATCATGGGTCTCAGCAAGTGAAGACGGAATTGCAACCGAAGGACGAGAGGAGATGGTGGAATTGAGAGGACCCAAACTGTGGTCGATGAAGATGAGAGATGAAGATGAAGATGGTGGATATGCAGAAGATGACAACCGGAGGTGGAGGATCGAGAGAAATCGGCAAACAAAACAAAGATGAGAGTTAGATGAATCTGAACATGTGCAACCTCGAATCGAATATGAGAACCTCAGCAAAACGTAGCGTTACTCGTCTAATCCTTCGTCGTCATTTTGCTGGATTGGTCCTTCTTGCCATTTTTGTGCATTTATCGTCAATTCACATAACTTGCAACTAGGGTCACCTGCACGCACAATGAACTCAAGGGATTAAATATCTTAACATAGAAAATCACATAGACAACAACCAAGCACATAAAACCTCTAAAATAACTTCATTACCCTTTGTGCATACTTACCATTAATTATGCCCCAATTAACTAATAATTAGTGCCAAAAAACCTAAAATTATACATGGAAATGTATAAAAATAATGAGGTCATATTCGAGCATTCTTGTATCAAGCTCTATCCACACTCTCCACTACATTTAATTTCCTCGTGCCTTAGCGTGGCTTGAAAGTTATTAAACAAAAGATACATGAATAAAAGGGGGGAGGGTTGCAACGCATTGATACTAGCATTTTCCTTTTGTCAAGAACTAATATCATATAAATATCAAAGTATTGTTCCAGTCCAAATTATAATAACTTATTTCTAATTATTTTATCAGAATATAAAATATATAGTTAAATCATTGAAGAAATTTTTTGTCTTTTATTTTTACATAAAATTTTTAAAAAGTATATTTTTAATCCTTTAACCCTAGTTGTTAGTCTGAAATAAAGATTTTTTTTATAATAATCATAGTTATTTTGATTATTTTGAAAATAACTATGAATGATGGACACATGGCAACATGGCATAAAGGAGGTGGTGGTACATTGCTGTTGTGACACATGGTAGCAACTCACGATTGCCGTGTGGTATTTTAAATCTACAAAATAAAAATATTTAGTGATGATAATTCGTCACTAATTTTGATAGCAACAGAAATTTTGTCACTAATTTTTTTTTTTTTTTTGGTTGATGTATATATGTTAGCTTTATTTATAAGTATATTTTTAATTAAAAATATTAAAGTTGTAAATAAAGATAATTTAAAATTTTAATAAATACTTCAGTTTTTGGTCCAAAATGGTTAATATATGGAAATTCATTATTTTATTGTAGAGTATGAATAATACATAAAACCAGATCAGGCAATATATTGGTGGCGTTTGCGTGGAACTTACCGAGCCTTGAATCTGAACCTGGGCGAGGGAGCGTCATGGGACCATATCTCGTGAATACAGTGGACCTACCAAATCCTACGTGCATACATGGGGGACCAGGCGGACGAAGATACTGCACAATTTGTTGCAACCCCAATCATCACAACAACACAATCAAATCACAAAAATAACTAAGCTGCTGCTACATTATTTAGTTACCATTAATTTAAGTTCCATGCCACCATCTACGTAACTACTTTGTCCGGCTTGTTTTTCATTTTATGATAACCAACCAAATTAACTTCTCGTCGTTGCTCCATTTTTGCCACACATTCATTCAATTTACAGAAATTAAAGAGTTAGTTTACAATCATTTGTTTTCGTCTTCCGCCTATACTTTAATGTTACTTTTAATCTCATATATGCGTGGGCGTTAATTATGGCTTCATTTCGGTGAATCAATTGAACATTGAAAGAGCCCTAAATTTCAATAACTAAGGACTGGGAAAAGGAGGCAGGCAGAAAATTATTATTTGTGTGTATGTATACTCCCTCCATCTCTGGGCTCTTGGTACCATCTATAAAAGAAGACTATCGAGCCTATACATGTTAAAAAGATAGTTTAAGCAGACTGGTTAATATCTGAATATTGATAATATTTTCCCACTTATATCCTTAACTAATGCTCATCTTTTTCGTCTTTCCAACTTTCTAAATATGACAAGCTGCTTGTTTAATTTACTCCTTTATAAGTAGAAGTCTCTTGCTCACTTCGCTTTAATAATCCTTTATAAGAACCCATCCATCCCTTTTCTCTCCTACATCAAAATATACACCTAGCTAGTTAATTCTTATCTTCCTTTCGTAAATGAAAAGGCTTAATTTTGACTTTGGTAAAAAAAAAACATTTACTAATTAATACATCTCACTAAATGTTATGAAAAATTGCAAAAGAGGACTCGACAAGTTAGTTACAAATAACTAATTGCACAAATTTTCTTAATACTAATAAATGAGGTACAATGGTAACTATATTTAGGCCTGAAAGAGCGTGTATATAATGCGGGGCAAGTGCTTACAAAATACTAGGGATAGAGGGGGTAGCTTGAAATAAAAATGAAAATAATGAGTATAACGGAAGTGACTTACTTGGTCCAGGTACTCCAATATTGGAATGCGACTTCGACTCATTATTGAGCTACTGCTGTTTTCAAAATCACTTTTGCGTATGACACGCCATCCACACTTCATTGAAACTTTTGCATTATTATGGCCGGCATTAAAAATGAAGGGAAGCTGACTGTGCTTTCTTGAGCACTCCAAGGCACAGAATTCCTTTGTATGTTTCCAGAACCCTAGCCAAAGGTGACAAGACTTTCTTTTCTTCTCGCCATCACAATCAAATGCCCTTATCGTCTTGTGGTTTTTGGGATGTACTGCGAAATCATAAAGACTCCACGACAAAGCCGATTCTCTTGTGTCGGGTTCAGTGGAATAAAACTTACCTTCTAACGGAGTGCATAATCCAATTCCCACCATTTCTTCCCAAGAAGGTATGTCTACCATCAATAAAGCACTACCATATTCATCCAGACAAAGATCAATTTGATGGTCAAACCATGATGGTATTTCACGTCCAGGAGTAGTCACCGAGAGAGTTTCATCCATCCAAGGCGTTGTTTTCACCTTCCACTGTTTCCAATGAATATATATGTATAATTAAAAACAAAATAAAAACATAGAATTCTATAATGATATATGGATATTTATACATACTTGGTCCATTGAAGCAAAGAAATGTGATAATTGTTCACCTCCCACTGTTTCCAACGAAGCACATTCTTCTAACTCCAGGATACATAAACTTGGCGGAGTCTGCGGCAACGACTGAAGTTCAGAGCAAGAATTTAAATACAGACGTTCCAATTTCAAAAGATTAGCTATGCAGCCAGCAGGTAGACTCTTAAAATTATTTCCACTCAGATCTAATCTCTCCAATGATGATAAGCCCCTCCAGTCATCTGGCATGGATGCATCATCAATCTTGCAATAGCCTAAATCCAATTCTCTCAGTGATTTAATACTCAGCATTGAAGAAGGCAATGTTAAGCCCTTATGAATTGAATGCCCCCAAGGAAGAATCATGCTCCAAGGGTATAACATCGACCTTTTGCACCGACGAAATGACAATTTCTTGAGTTTCTCTAAACCACCAATGGAAGGAGGTATTTCTGTTATATCGGTTTCACTTGCGTCGAGCTCCTCCAAGCCTTCAATTTCATTCAACTTTTCTGGCAATCTAGAAAACTTTGAGCAGCCAGATATATCAATAACTACAAGGCGCTTCAAATTGTGAATGCTCTGAGGAAGGCAAACAAGATTTTTACAGCCCCTTAATTTCAAAGTCTTAAGACCAATCAATAAGCTAAGTGACTCAGGTAGTTTGACTAAATTTGTCTCCCCAGCATCAAGTGTTTCAAGATTTTTCATACTTTCTCCAAACTCTGGGAGAAATTTTACTTGAAGACATCCAGAAAGAACAAATTCTTTCAGAGCAGTCATTTCCAATTTTTTGGACAACGGAATCTAAGATTTTTGCAACCTTTCAAATTCAACGCTTGAAGCTTTTTGAGTTGTCCGATCGAAGCATGAAGGTCAACAAGTTCTTCACAACCTTCGAGTTCCAATCTTTCCAGGTTTGGAATTTCCAAAAAATCAGGAGTTTCAATCAAGTTTTTGGAATAACGCAAGTCCAAAATCTTCAAATTCTTTGAGCACTGGACAAACAAATATATGAGAATCATTGAAAAAAACACGATGTGCTAACTAGCATAACCAATTACACTATCAATAACATCAAAGGATAAGATATCTTACCAGGCTAAGTTTCTTTAATTTGCTATGATTCATTCTAAGATCAACAAGTTCATGCAATCGGGTTCCAGAAGAAAGAGTGTTTAGAGGATATTTTGTCCAATAAAGTACTTTCAAAGCATGAGAAAGACATTTGAGGCCATTAGGGAGATGAAAATCACTTGATATCATCAGTAATCTGAGGTTGTGCAATGTTGAAAATGCTTCAGGATCCCAAAATGCCTTATAAGATGTGGATGAGGCCATACCTTTTATTTCTTTTGTGCCTTGGTAAACAACATTATGCAATGTTGAAAATGGTTCAAAATCCCAAAATGTGTCACAAGATGTGGATGAAACCATACCTTGTATTTCATTTGTACCCTGATAAACAACATTAGCCACAAGAAAAATGGTATCAAATTTACCATGTAAGAAATTAATAAGATGTAAAATATATTGAAACCAATAAGAGATAAGATCGATACTCACTAAATTGTTTTCCATAACTTTATCAATGTCTTCATTAGTCCACAATCTACTACGGTTTCCAACATAATTAGAAGACTTATCCACAACAATTTTCCTACCCATTTGTTCCACCAAATCATGCATCACTAAAGTACTGCCATATTCCTTCAGCATAGATTTTTCTTGGAGAGTTGTTATTCCAATTTTTCCATTAAAACCACAATTTTCTAATATTTTTGTTATTTTGTTTTTGCTCCAACCATTGAAGAAGCAAGCAATATCTAAAAATATTGCTTGTTCTATATCAGTTAATGCATCAAAACTTATTTTAAGTATCCCAAAAATATCTTCATGGGGATCTTTCCTCAACATTCCCAAGGCATCTTTCCTCAACATATCCAAAGCATCTTCCCATTGCACAATACTTTTTCCACAAAAAAAAGAGCCCAAAACAGAGAGAGCTAAAGGAAGGCCTCCTGCATAATCACAAACAATTTTAGACAGCTCCAACAAATCCTCCTGAGGCTCACTTCTTCCAAATGCTTTCTGACAAAAGAGTTGAAGGGCTTCATTTGGGTTCATAGTTTTAACCTCGTGTTGATATGCTACACGCGCTCCACGTAACAAGTCTAAATGCCTAGTTGTTATGATCACTCTACTCCCAGCACCAAACCAGTTTGGGCTATTAGCCAAATTTTCTAAATGGGTTGTATGGCTAACGTCATCAAGGATAAGTAAAACCTTTTTATTGCAACAACGGTTTTGGATTATTTTCTTCCCTTCATAGCTGTTTTCAATTTTCATGTTTCTTCTTTTGAGTTTTGAAAGAAATTGACTTTGTAACTGAACCTCGCCACCATCTCTTTTGGAAGCTACCCTAACATTGTGAAGAAAGCAACTAATATCAAATTGGCTACAATATTTCTCAAAAACAACCCAAGCAATTGTTGTCTTCCCAACACCCCCTAAGCCCCATATTCCTACAAACCGAACATCATTCGAACCTATCTCCAACAGTGGCTCTAGTTGTTCCACTTTATTGTCAATTCCAATGAGTCCTTCAGTATAAGGTGGTAGTCTAGGATGTAATTTGGTCCACAACTCCTCAACCACTGTGTCAACAAGTTCTGCTTCAGACCTACAAGTTACAACAATGTATGAATGGCCATGTGAAATATAACTTTTGATTTATTATGTAATTATACTACCTCTAGTCCTAACTATAAGATCTACAAACGAGGTCTTATAGTTAGGAGAGGAGTAATATAATATTTGTTACTCCAATGTCTGCAATTGTTAATATTCTTTTCCTTCTAGATTATCAACACATTGAAACAATTTCACTATTGGCAGCAGCACAGACATGCAGTTCTTGTTTTTTTTTTTTCAACGGGCATTTTAATTTAATTGTGATGTTAAAGCTTTTCAATTCAAGGATAAAAAGTTGTGGATGTGAAAAAAAAATAAAAATTAACAAAATACAAATTTAAAATTTAGAACTTTTAACTTCAAATACCAAAAAAAAAAAAGAATAGTCACAAAATTTATTAGAATAAATGACGACATAACTAAAAAAATGACCCTGTACTATAAAGTTGATTCCACACCACTCAAATATAACTAATAGTATCAATGTCAAATAATTGTATTAAAAAAGTTTTACAATTCTTTTTTCTACAAAAGTTAGCAGTGAGAACTCATTTATTAAATAGTGGTAAACAGAAAAGGAAAGAAAGATTGAATAAACAATAAAAAGAATAATGACACTGCAATACAAGGTATCATTGTGTATTACAACTAAAATGTTCATCTTAATAATTAATTTATTTAATTTTTAAACTAAGAATACATACATGTCAACCAAATAGTTTGACTACATCTAAATCAATATATGTTCCATAAAATGATTATATAAATATAAAATATTTGTTGCATAATTTTACCCAATAAGAAATTGACTCACCTATATTTATTGCAATCCCAACCAGATAAGTCTGAAACCTCCCTGAGAGAATCTCTCCAACATTTCATGACCTCATTGTCCCTTTGAAGCATTTGATGCCTAGCAAAAGCTTCGGCAAAACTTTCTCTTTGATGCCGTACGTCAGATGGATTTACATCATAAAATATGGGGAAAACTTGTTGAGACAAATTGTTTCTTGAGTAAAGAATATGTTTAAGCTCATCTAAACACCATGAAGAAGAGGCATAATTTTTTGAGAGAACAACAATTGCAAATAGAGAATCCTCAATTGCTTGTTTGAGTTCTTTGGAAATGACTTCTCCTCTCTCAAGTTCTTCATCATCTCTGAAAACCTTAAGCCCACTCTTATCTAGTGCATGGTACAAGTGGTCAGTGAAGCCTTTACGAGTGTCTTCACCCCTAAAACTCAAGAAGATGTCATACTTCCAAGTTCTTTGGGTTGAATTGGAGTTGGAAGAGTTTGAAGAAGATCCTCCTTGATTACTTGCCATAAATGTTTAAGCCAATAATTTGAAGAACCAGCAATATTACGACCTGCAACACAACTAGACTATTTCATTTGACGAAAGGAAAAAAATGAAATAGGAGATGATCAGATTGCAAAGGAAAAAATGGAAAAGAAAAATAGGGGAAGTTGTAGATGTATGATATACTGACCTGGGCTTATAGCTAGAGGTGAAGTGTCTGAGCTCTAATGCTTTATATATACAAGCTTTCAAGTGTTTACCTTCTTGATGGTGTTATTAGATGGCTGAAACTAGAATTTCCGTGCAAGTTTCTCACAATTTCTCTCTGTTCCTTTTCTGTCTTCCTCTTTTCTCCTTCTTTTCCTCTCTCTTTTTCTGCAGTGAGGGAAGAGAGCTAAAAGCCCTACTTATTGTGAAAGGTTGTTTGGAGGCCGCCTCGAGAATGAGAAAAGGCTGAAAGGGTCCACGGTCTTCCTTCCATGCTCCTTCCCTCGCCACGACAGGCCAGTGATCACTTTTGACTTGCCTAACCAGCTTTTTTTCCCCACAGTATATTCCCATTTTTTCCCCACAAATTAGCCTAACGGATTTGAACCACTGCATCTTTGCAACAACCACCAAAAAATTGGTTTTATTTGAATGATGGGTGACTTATTAATTTTAATGAGTTTCCAAACAAAAACGCGTGATCTATAAAAGAGGGAACAAAAGAAATTTGAATCTGCGAGTTAATTGAAAAATAAATTATAAATACCATTAATTCTTGTTAAAATACCATCTTTTGTAAAGAAGAAAAAGAAATGAGGGGAGAATTGAAATAATAGAAGATCATATTTGTTTATTTACAATTTTTTTTGGGTGAAACACTAGGTTATCCATTGGAGGATCTGGTGACTAATCCCTTCATTAGCTTGTGAGCACATCAATGTGTGGGACAGTTGGCTCGGAATTTTAAAGCTTTTCCATACTCAAGGTAAGAATCAAACCCTCAATACTTGGTTAAGGGAGGATGAACCCCTACCACTCAACCACACCGCTAGGGTTTGTTTATTTATAATTACTACCCTCTATCAATTGTGGAACCAATTTTGTACTTATTGCAATGATAAGTATCATAATACTCATTGCCATGGTAAAATATATACTATTCAAATATAGTTTTAATAGTCAAGATTTAAAATTTTTAACAAATAAATTTTAAATCAAATTTTTTTCTAAAAATTTACAATTAAAATATTACATTTATTTGGGATTATCTGCGTATGAAAAGAAAACATTTTTTAGAAAAAAATATATAAAAAATAAATCTCAACCGTCCATATTAAATTTGAACAGTTGAGATTCAATAAGTATCATGGTGATTATCACTGCATTTATTTTTAGTCAAGTCTTCCATATATTTACTTTCAAGTTGGGCATTGGAAGGAAACAGAGAAGTAGTTTTTTTCCTTTTAGGGGGGGCTGAGCAAAAGGCAATTTTGTTTGGTGTACAATCGAATAAAGCTATTTGTAGTATATTCTTTTTTTTTAAAAAAAAAAGGTCCTGAAACAACATGAAGCCAAGAAAATTTTTAACTGCCTATAAATCCATAATCCCATGGGAAATCACATTGAAAATGGAGTTCATCACGTTTTGACCGTAGAAAATAAAGCAAAGCCCGCGATTTGCTTGATGTGCAAGTGCGTCACTTGCGATGGTTCCCGCCCCACCCAAAACAAAAAAAATTTCTTCTCACATGATCCCGGTTAAGTCAACACCTAAACTTTCCAATTCCCCTCTTGATGTGGTCCGTACAACTTTGACGTATCCTAAATAATTTGTTTAAAAAATTAGAGAGAAAATAAAGGGTACAGATTCTCTCCTTTTCCTTTTCTTTAGTTTTTTATCTCAAAATTTCAAACTTACCCTTAAATTAAGAAAAATGGAGGGTTCAGACTCCCCTCCTAATTAATTTTACTTTGGATTTTGAAAAGATAGGCAAATTTCATGACTAATTTGCAATTATGAACCCCATTCCAAAAACACCAATACTCCAAATAAAAGTAATACACAAATGAAAAGCCCCCTCTATTGAATAAACCAAGGCTCCCTCCCAGTGCTTACAAGTGTGGCAGCTTTCTTTGAAAAAGTGAACACGAATGGAAAGCAACGCGTGAAAATATGGTAGAGTTTAGTCTTTAATGCGTGTTTCCTGGGATGTGTCCCTGTCTTTTTTTATAATTACTATCCTCCGTTAGTGGCATTGTTTAGACTTTTTAAAAGTTTACAACAAACCTCATTAAACTTTGCATAAAACTTTCACACTATTACTTTTATTATTTTTTTACGGATGACTTAAAGTTTAATCAGAGAGTTAAAATATAATTAAGTAAAAATTTTGGGATATTATATGTATATAAAAATAAAATTAATGGTTTTAAGTTTTTATATAATTTTGCTCTTTACTTTCATGATGCTCATGAAATTATCATATTGGAAATGTAATGCATCATAATTCGACCGGAGAAAAGAAGTAAAGTCCGTAATTTGCTTTATGATGTGGCCATGTGGGCATGCGCATGATGAGACGTAGGGGGTGCGTCCCCCCTGTTCTTCTCACATGACTGCGGTCAAGTAACGTAAACGCTCCGATTCTTCCTTTGTATGTTCCGCATAATTTTAACTTATCCTAATGGCTTGTTTGCGTTAACTGGGAAAAAAACGGAAAGATTGAGAAAATTAGGAAAAATTAATTTGGAGGTCTTCTTTTTATTAGATCCTTCAATTTTCTTCTGTTTGGTTGATTAATTCCTACTGTTAAATAAGACAAACACCGTTATAACTGTCAGTCAACATCTTCTCCTTCCCCGCTGTTCTCGCGACCTCCCTAATATGAGTTGCATGAGCTCGTCCATCAAAAAACCTTAAATTCCAGCTCCATCCCACCTGCTCATCTGATATATTTCCCGGCTTCCATTTTCTTCTCTTTTTTTTTTTAACTGGATCTGCGCAAGTCTCTCTCCCTTTAAATGGTTTCTTAAATTGAATCCATGCTAGTTATAGAATTTATCTTTACTTTATTATTGGATTTAGTTTATTTTTCATTTGTTCCTCTATTTTCTGCGATCCTCTTATCTCGAATTTGCTTCCCTTAGTCTAGACTCTGAATGTTCTATCTAAGTTGTTAAATAAAACCTATAACGGATCAGGAAACATACTAGGTCGAGTCTCGGTTCGGGTCGGTTAGATCCTCTTAGCTCACGCTTAAGCTAGACTATAAAAGTCTAAGCTTTGAGTGCACAGCAGAGCACCTTTTTGCAAGAAAGAAATAAGAGAGAGAGATAGTAGGAAAGATCAACTACTGGAGTGATTTGAACTGATGAGAGGAAACCTCTATATATAGCTTTTGTCAGGGGTATTTTGGGTAACCAAAAATATCCACTAAGCCCATCAGATAAAATATGAGATAAGATATATAAGTATATCTTTATCTCATGATATCATGATATCTGAATTTAATATCCAGAATTAATCACAATTAATTCTAAAATATATACTTAATATATATATTTAATCTATACAATATAAATTAATTAATTTATTATAAACTAATCAAATTTATATCGTAACCGATTGTATATGATTCAGGGTGTTTGACCAAGTCAAACATATCACAATATCGCTTGGATATTTGACTGGTATATTCTCTTTATACCCGGTCAAATAATCCAGCCTATCAAGGGCGGATCAAGCCCAAAATCCAACATCTCCCACTCGCACTTGATGGGCTGTCCATCGTGCGATAACTACATCTTTCGTTGCTTCATATTGGGTGTCTGCTGTGACCGCGTGGGCACGACATCATCAATTTGGATGCTTGTGCACTAGAAGTCCTTTACACAGGATCAGCACACAAGAACACCCTAGGTGTACTTGTAAATTGTATGCTTGTTGCCTCGAATGCCCTAGTTTTATCTATAAACTTTACTCATGGCATATCTAATCCCTCTCGAGTTATTTTGTTTACTCAAATTGCCTTCTTATACGCATAGTGTCCACACTTGCTTAGTTGTTCTGTTCAACCTGCAAGGAAAATGTTACAGATACCAGTGTAGATGTGTACTTCAGGACAAATCTTCCTTTTGACTATTCATCACTTAGATTTGGCATAGTCGCTTTCCCAGTCTTGACCTATTAGATCGCATCATTCTTGACCGTGGGGTTTAGGCTAGAGTAGCTATGAGTAAACCAGATCCTTGTGATGCTGTCTAAGTCTTGAGGGCATTATGAAAGGTTTTATTTCCTTTCTGGGACTCACACCATAATGGATTAGGGATCTTCCATTTATGTCCCATGTTACGGATTTGTGTGAGCTCATACAATATGAATTGCATGCTATAGTGCCCGATCCACTAAGTAGAGTATGTGCTTTTGGTTTTAGTGGCACCGTATAGACTTAACTTCTAAATGTACTTTAACACTTGAACCAAGATCTCTTCTGTCCCAACTAAATATGATGTCTTATAGGTGAAGAGTTCCTTGTCTGGTTATAGGTCTCATGGATTACACATTATCCATGATTCGGCCCAGAATTTTATGAGCCTCATCTGAGTCTAGCTAAAGTGACACTTGTGCAGTGATTCTTCCCTACCATCTCATGGTGATCATCTGCTGTCAACCCTTCTACGTCCCATGAGAACATAGCAAGGTAGTGTTTGTGTGAGTGAGCCAACCTTGTGACCTGTACGACATATTGGTGTTGCATACCTTGTGCCTATGCATATATAAATGCACAAATGTATATACAAGAAAATTTTTTGAACTGGATAAAATGCATATAATTACTAAGTAAAAGAAGGTTCAATACAACGTGCCTCACGGTTGCACAATTGAAAGAAAAAAGATAAAAAAGAAAAAGGAGTTCAATACATCATGCTTTACGCATGCCCAAGGCCTTTACATGCTTGACAAAAGGATCTCTAACTATAGGCTTGGCTAGGGGATCTGCCAACATCTTATGAGTGGACAAGTATTGAACAGTCACTTGTTTCTTGGAGATCATATCTCTTACAAAGTGATATTTTATGTCTATGTGCTTAGTACGATTTGGTACTTAGGGTCCTTTGCATAGGCTATTGCTGCTTCACTATCGTAGTGAATTAGGGTTGGTCTCTTACTACCACCATGGATTCCTAATCCTACTAAGAATCTTTTAAGCCAACAGTCGTAGAACATGCTACGTATTCTGTTTCCAAGGATGAAAGAGACACACATGTTTGTTTCTTGCTGCTCCAGAGATTGCTCCGTTGTTTACTAGGAATGTATAGCCTGATGTCGAGTA